GGTGGTTTGCCATTGCTGGCCTCTATATAGCCACCCTGGACTTCTTTGGCAGTCTCCCATCTAAGTGCTATTCAGAGCCAGATCAGCACTCAGACATCTGACCAGCAGCCGTTCATTTCTCTCATCTGTCTCGAATGCAACCAGGTTCAGCAAAGAGAACAGAGAAAGCATCGATCCTTACACGTACCTGCCCTTCGGAGCCGGTCCCCGGAACTGCATTGGGATGAGATTTGCGCTGGTCACGATGAAAGTGGCGATTGTGAGGCTCCTGCAGCATTTCTCCTTCAGGACCTGCAAAGATACCCCGGTGAGTGTCCCCAGATAGGTTTTTAAAATAGGCGGGTTTTTAAATTTAAAAAAAAGATTGCAAAAAATAAAATGAAATTGCAAAATGCAAAAGAGAGCCAGAGATTCCCCCCCCCCCTCTTACAAAGAAAAGCAGCCCAGAATCGAGTCCCTCTAAATGAAAGGACTAGAGGTTGCTGCGGAACTGGAGCTGCCCCCCCCCCAGTTTTCCCCATACTCCACCACCCAAACTTTTCTGGCTACCCCCCTGATATTATCTAAACCAAGGAAACCTAAGGGACAGTTCAGACGGGCAGCTAATCCCGCCATTATGCTGGCTCAAATTTGATCCCGATCTTTTAACTCCATCCTCGCACGACCAGACATCCCCCGGGGAAATCACCTTACCGTGCGCTGCTTCTGCTGTGGATTGTCTAGATGGCAGCCACTGAAGAAGGCACGCACGGTGGGTTTTTAAAAAAACACACAAAAACCTTTTGGTGCATGCACATAGGCGTGATATTGCGGCCTTGTTTATCCGCGGATGCGCAGAATCAAGATTTTTTTTAATTGCGCGCTGAAACGATCAGACGGGGGTAAGTCCGCGATTGGCCCGTCGGAACCGAAAATTCCAGATTTTAACTAGTACCTTTTTAGTATGGCTCTGAAGCGCGGCAAAACGGGATGCTCATGGAAGACGGACGTTTCCCAGATGTTGATGTCTGGACATTACATTTAAATTACATTTAATTTATATTACATTTAAATTAGATTGTGCCTCATGCGGATCTAAAGAGCCATCTGAATGCACCCTAAGAGTTAAGGTACCAGACCTCTAAACTGGTTCACCCATAAGGCTTATTCTTCAACTGGGATAAGTGGTTTGTTAACTGGAATTGAAACCTCCTGATTTATACATTTTTTCTTGCTGGATCTCTCACTACTCCAGATTCCCCTGGAGCTGAACTCCCAGGGCTTCTTAATGCCAAAGAAACCAATTGTTCTGAAGTTGGTGCCACGAGAATAGGAAGAATGAAGCTCGGTTGTGATTTGGATACCTGTGCAGAGGACGCAAACCGTTGAGACCTTGCACCATGCCCAATGCAGATTCTACGAAGAGAAATCCCATTTGTTCAGAAGACAACATCTAGATATCTGCCGGCAGACAGACAGACAGACTGAGGGATGTTATTAGCTGTCATAATGATTAAAGTCAAAATGATTCCTCTGATTAGGGCTTATCTGCACTTAAACATGCATCCGTTCCATTCCATTTTAACTGTCGTGGTTTCTCAGGAGAGAATCCTGGGAAATGTAGTTTGGGAAAAGATGCTGAGGATTTGGTTTCAGTCTCAGCTCACACAGGAGGGGAGGGAAAGAGTGAACCAGACAGTATAGCAGGTTCATGCTGGTCAGTAACAAACGCTGTTGTATTGGTGACATCTGACTGTGGTATTCAGCACACTATGAGGGTTAGATACCATTTCTGCATCCCGTTCCTAAAGAACATCCTGAATACGCTACCCATGAATCAAGCCTGCACACCAAGGTCTTGAAGAGAGGTGCACTTGCAGGAAACTCCCTGGAGGCAGGACGAAGGCCTTGAGCAGAAATTCAGGGAAGAACGGATGACAGTGAAATGTTTTGCGGAGCTGGATAAATTTTTCTGGTTTGATATATCACTCCAAATAAGGGAGGGGACATGAGAACGATGCTTCCAGCAAAATCCAAAAATAACAAAACTGGGGCAAAAATAATAGGCTGGATCCACGCAAATCACTTAAGTATGCATGCTAATACAGTCAGTTTTATGCTTGAAAATTATATACAAAATATCAACATGGCCTGCAAACCAAAGCCGTACAATATCTCAATGATATACAGAATTGTGAAACTTAATGATATCAGCTTTGAAGCTCAGGCTGTTAAGGACAGATCCAACATGAGAAATCCTCAAAGGTAATAAGGGCTAGTCCCAATACTAAATGTAGCAACTCTTGTGAAGAGATATCCTTAGAAACCAGGAAGTATAATTACAATTCAAGGAAAATTCTTACACAATATAAGTTGACTTGCTTCTGATGACGTTATGATACGAAATCAAGCAAAAGCCGGCTGCTTTGTAAATTCTTTGGCTGTTAGCAGCAACTAGTGTAGTGAAGTCCCACAATTCTTTGGCTGTTAGCAGCAGGGGTCGTTTCATAGAAAAAGAGCTAGGGGAACTCATTAGCATAACTCATTAGCATATGCCACACTCCCTGATATCAGGGGCCCGGTGGTGGACCTGCAAGGCCGGCGGGAGTGCGTGGAAGCCCCACCAAGGCCCTCCCTGGCCCCGGGCAGGCAGGGGTGGGGAGAGGCGGGGAGGAAGCAACTTACCCTCCCACTTCATTTGCTTCCTCCTGGCTGAATGAGAGCTGGAAGCGGGGTGTCCGGAAGCAGTGGGCGGGGCTTCATCATGTGCCCCCCCGCACCTCACCCAGGGGAACTGCGATCCCCGCATCCCCCCCTGAAATGACCTCTGGTTAGCAGCAACTAGTGTAGTGAAGTCCCACAATTCTTTGGCTGTTAGCAGCAACTAGTGTACTGAAGTTCCACAATTCTCTGGCTGTTAGCAGCAACTAGGTTGGGGAACAGGGACTTTGGGGCATCTGAAAGACGAACACAATTTTTTCTTCCACAATTCTCCTTCTTCCACGTTTTGTGGGCCAGAGCAGCTGAAAAAGTTGAATGTAGAAAACAAAAAACTGTATGTTGGACAAAAGTTGTGTTGGTTGTTTCAGGTGGCACAATACTCTTGTATGGTCTGGCCCAGCAGGGCTCTTCGGATGTTCTTATGGAGGCCTCGGCCTCTCTGCCCTGTTGCTGGCTCTCTGGAGGAACTGGTTGGCCACTGTGGGAGACAGGATGCTGGACTGGATGGACCCTCACTGGTCTGACCCAGCAGGGCTCTTCTGATATTCTTATCAGGGGAAGGCCTCAGCCTCTCTGCCCTGTTGTTGGCCCTCCAGAAAAATTGGTTGATCACTGAGGGAGACAGGATGCTGGACCCCTGGTCTGATCCAGTGGGGCTTTGGTGTAGTGGTTAAGTGTGCGCAGGGCCATTTTTAGGCAGGAACGCACAGGAACGGAGTTCCGGATGGCTCCCGAGTTGGCCACACCCAGCAGGAACTCATTCGCATAACAGGCCACACCCAACAGCAGAAACTCATTAGGATTGGCTACATTAGGGGTGTGTGGCCTAACATGCAAAGGAGTTCCTGCTACAAAAAAGCCCTGAGTTTTGACAACAAACAAGGTAAACAGAATAAGAAGCAAAAGGTGAGTGTGTCTGGATGACCACACTTCTGGTAACATGGGGGTGTGTGGCCTAATATGCTAATGAGCTGTGCTGTCAGGGGTGTGTCCTAATAAGCAAATGAATTTCTGCTGTTGCGTGTGGTCTATGAGTTCCTGCTGGGCTTTTTCTACAAAAAAAGCCCTGAGTGTGTGGACTCTAACCTGGGAGGACCAGGTTTGATTCCCCACTCCTCCACTTGCAGCTGCTGGATGGCCTTGGGCAAGCCATAGTTCTGGCACAGCTGTTCTTGAACAAGAGCAGTTTCTGTCAAGAGCTCTCAGCCCCACCTATCTCACAGGGTGTCTGTTGTGGGGAGGGGAAGGGAAAGGAGTTTGGAAGCCACTCTGAGACTCCTTTGGGTAGTGAAGGGTAGGGTAGAAATCCAATCTCTTCTTCTTCTCCTCTTCTTTTCTGATGTTCTCATCTGCATCAGGCTCATGCACACCTGAGAATTACTTTCTGAGCACAGAATCCTGAAAACACATCTATCAACGGGTGAAAACTTTGTAACACATCAATTGGCCCCAGCCCTGGATTAACCATTAAGCAAAATGTGCTCAGGCCACCAAGGGAAGGGAGGGGCCATAGAGTTTCCCGTCCTAGTTATCATGCCCTATAAGTAAATAATTTGTTCAGATTGCTTACTGCTATTTAGTGGTATTTAATACTGGCCTGGGTTTTTTTAATCTCTTTTCACCTTCAGCACTTATTGAGTCTTGCAGTGTGCTCATCTCCGTTTCAAAGCCGAAGAGCCAGCGCTGTCCGAAGACGTTTCCGTGGTCATGTGGCCGGCATGACTAAACACCAAGGCACACGGAACGCTGTTACCTTCCCACCGAAGTGGTCCCTATTTATCTACTTGCAATGTCTTGCTTTTGAACTGCTAGGTTGGCAGGAGCTGGCACTAGATACGGGAGCTCACTCCGTCATGCGGCACACTCGGGTCTCAAACTGCTGAACTACCGACCTTCTGCAGCCTGCAGTTCAGCGTCTTAACCACTTGAGCCACCGCAGCTCCTTAGAGCAGTTTTAGAAATCTCCCAAAAGCAGCCTGTAAGTGGGTATGTGCTATGGAACACACACAGACATTAGAAAGCTCCAGAGGTCATCTTTCACAGGGATGCCAAATGAAGTAACCCTTCTAGGCTGGTTTATTGATTTATGAAATGGATAAGGGGTGGGGACTTCGCCTCTCTCTCACGTTAAGCCCAATCACATTAAGTCTGAACGGGAGTAGACTGTGAAACGGCTGCTGCCTTTCGCTCCCAACACAGGAAGGCACAGAAGAGACAGCGAAAGTGCTGCTGCCTTGAGCTCCAAACACAGGAAGGCACAACGGAACCAAAGGACGTCCAGCCAACCAGGAGCCAAGATGGATCTCCTGCCTGCGTTTTCCCCTGAGACGTGGTTACTCCTCACAGTCCTCCTGGGCCTTATAATGCTGTATGTATGATTTTGCTCGTTCTCCCCCTCTCATTCCATTTCTTTGTAATCTGTGCAGGGAGAAAAAAAGCAGTAATTCTGCTGGTTCTCTGGAGAGTTGTAGGAGCTTCTGAACGGCCAGGTGTGCCTAGACCGAGAGACGCCAAAGGATTTAGCTTTGTGCTGAGAGAGGATTACCTGAATCGCACTTCAGGTTTCTACTTTTTATTTTAAAGGGTCATACTCTCCAGCCAGTGTTCCCTCCAAGCTGAGTTAGTGTGAGCTAGCTCAGTTTTCTAACCTCCGGCTCACACATTTTTCTCTTAGCTCAGGAAGAATGGCTCCAGAGCAAACTAACTTATGCAGCAGCCAAATCACTGCGCATAGCTTTAATGCCAGGAGCTCACAAAGTGGAATTTTTGCTCACAAGACTCTACAGCTTAGAGGGAACATTGCTCTCCACTTGGATCCATGGGAATGACCAACGGGATGTCAACTGGGGCAGCTCCCTGCCCTGAATCCATTTCCATGCCAGCAAATGCTGTACCATTGCCAACTGGCAAGGTCGCCCCTGGGCACTGGCAGGGGGTGGGGTGGGGGCGCCAGCTCCAGTTTGAGAAACTCCTGGAGATTTGGGGGCGGAGCCTGGGGAGGGCAGGGAACTCCGTGGGGCACCATGCCGTAGAGTCCACCCTCCAAAGCGTCCATTTTCTCCGGAGGAACTGATCTCAGTTGTCTGGAGGCGAGGTGAAATTCTTGGGGGATCTCCAGGTCCCACCTGGAGCCTGGCATCCCAAGATACTGTACAGAAGCGACTGTGGTATGAGAAGAAAGAACTGGGTGCCCTCTTCTTTTCCTAAAAGCGAGCAGTCTACTCTGAAGTAAGCCCCATTTTATTCAGCGGGAGTCACTCCCAGGCAACTGCGCCTTCCTTAAACTTGGGGGGGGGGGAAGATATTTTAAAATAACCCAACAAATGTGATATTAGAACTAGCGTCCCCTAGTTCAGTCAGACACAACGGCAAGTCCGATTTAATGTGGGGGGGGGGGAATGACATTATTTTGACAACAGTTTACAGTATAGGACAGAACTCAATCAGGATGATATCTAGAGACAGGGCTATTTTTGGGCAGGAACGCACAGGAACAGAGTTCTGGCTGGCTCCCAAGCTGGCCACGCCCAGCAGGAACTCATTAGCATAATAGGCCACACCCAACAGCAGAAACTCATAACGATTGGCTACATTAGGGGTGTGTGGCCTAACATGCAAAGGAGTTCCTGCTACAAAAAAAGCCCTGGGTTTTGACAACAAACAAGGTAAACAGAATAAGAAGCAAAAGGTAGGTGTGGCTGGATAACCACACTTCTGGTAACACGGGGGTGCGGCCTAATGTGGTAATGAGCTGTGCTGTCAGGGGTGTGGCCTAATATGCTGATGAGTTCCTGCTGTTGGGTGTGGCCTATTATGCTAATGAGTTCCTGCTCGACATTTTCTACAAAAAGAGCCCTGTTAGAGATATTGCAGCCTCCCTCACCTCTCTAGGGAGCCCATTCCACTGAGTCAGGGCCGTCAGACAGCAATGCAGATTCTGTGAACTGAGGTAGATCATGAGAGGGAGGGCAGGAAGGGCTACATCCGTGCTTAGTTCTTGTGGCCCTTTCTCACACGCCCACGGAAATGTCGATTGCCACTTTGGGGTCAGGAAGCCATTTTTTCCCAGGCCAGTTTTCTTGCAGGGGGGGTTTGCCCTCTACTGGGCGTGGAGCAGGGGGTCACTGGGGGGGTGGCTTGTGGCCCTTTCTCACACGCCCACGGAAATGTCGATTGCCACTTTGGGGTCAGGAAGCCATTTTTTCCCAGGCCAGTTTTCTTGCAGGGGGGGTTTGCCCTCTACTGGGCGTGGAGCAGGGGGTCACTGGGGGTGTGTGGGGGGAAGTTTTTGTGAATTTCCTGCATTGTGCAGGGGGTTGGACTAGATGACCCTGGAGGTCCTTCCATCTCTATGATTTTATATTAACAATAAAAAGGTAGAGGTAAAGGTTCCCTTGCTTGAAAGCCAGTCGAATCCGACTCTAGGGTTGCGGTGCTCATCTCCGTTTTAAAGCTGAACAGCCAGCACTGTCTGAAGACGTTTCCATGGTCATATTAACAATACTCTGTATTAATTCCTGTGGGATACTGTAGACGCCCTATTTCTTTACTTATTTCAGCTCAAACGTTCTCTGGCAATAAAATTAATTTGAAAAAGCCATACTGAGTAGATGAATGCGCAAACAGACTGAGTGAATCAGACTATTGGTCCATCGGAGTATCGCCTGCTCAGACTGGCAGCCGCTCCGGAAGGGTCTCACACAACCTCCTACGATCTTCTTCACCCTTTTCACTGGCGATGCCGGGGATTGAGCCTGGAACTTTCTCCATGCCAAGCAGAGGCTCTTCCACTGAGCCAAGGACCTTCCCCATGTTAACGACTCAGGGGGGCTGTCCAAGGGACCACGGCCTTGCTGGGACTCCTCCCCAATTCAGCTTCCACCAGCCTCTCATGAAAACACCACTGGGAGCACAGATTGCATTGAATCGGCCGTGTATCATGTCAGCTGCAGTGGAGGATCTTTCCTCCTGGCTTCTATTTGTGAAGAGCAAGTTTGGTGTAGTGGTTAGGAGTGTGGACTCTGATCTGGGAGAACCGGGGTTGATTCCCCACTCCTCCACATGCAGCTGCTGGTGTGACCTTGGGTCTGTCATAAGTTCTCTCAGAGCTTCTCCTCTCACGAGCAGTCCTCGAGAGAGCTCTCTCAGCCCCACCTACCTCCCAGGGTGTCTGTTATGGGGAGGGGAAGGGAAAGGAGATTGTAAGCCGCTCTGAGACTCCTTTGGGGAGTGAAGGGTGGAATAATAATCCAATCTCTTCTATTCTTCTATTTTTGAAACTGCTTTAACCTTTGAGAACAGTTGTGTTAGAAAATGGTACATGAGTATGATATGTCAGGAAGGAGAATAGATAAATTCCCTTTCCTTAACTGCTGCACCCACAGAAAGTAACACTTGGTTAAATGAGACTCTTTGCCAAGATGGGGATTATTTAGGTCACCAATAACTTGAGAATGTAGTGTCGGGGGTTTAATGGACCCCATTGCGTTTCTCATCACAGCGTTGCATTAAATCTAGACACAAATTCCTACACTGGAAGGGGAATTGCAGGAGAATTTAATGTGGCAAATGTTGTGTATGTGTGTGTGCTGGACTGACATATTTTCAATATTCTTTTGTGCAGGGGTCGTTTCGTAGAAAAAGAGCTAGGGGAACTCATTAGCATAACTCATTAGCATAGGCCCGGCGGTGGACCTGCAAGGCCGGCGGGAGTGCGAGGAAGCCCCACCAAGGCCCTCCCTGGCTCCAGGCAGGCAGGGGTGGGGAGAGGCGGGGAGGGAGCAACTTACCCTCCCTCTTCTCCTGCCTCCTCCTGGCTGAATGAGGGCCGGAAGCGGGGCGGCTGGAAGCAGGGGGCGGGGCTTTGTCATGTGCCCTGCCCCCCGCACCTCACCCGGGGGAACTGCGTTCCCCTGCGATCCCCCCCCAAAATGACCTTTGCTTTTGTGGTGAGTTATGACCCCATATGTATTCAGGGTTTTTTACAAAACTTACAGGTGCCACATCTTATATATATAGTTATCTTACATGCTGGCTATTTCTAGCTCTCCCATTGGCTGTGCTATGCACTCCATCAGCCATTGGCCCATCAACCGCCACTCAAGAGTACTCTTCCTCTTGGGAAATCATTGCTGCCAATCTCCAGGTGAGGGCTTGAGATCACTCAGAGTTAAAACTGCTCTCCAGATGGTAGAGATCAGGGGCAGATAACGAAAGGTTGATGGTTGGCTGGGAAGGAGACAGGGTTGTTAACTCCAGGTTGGGAAATTCCTGGAGATTTGAGGGATGGAGCTTGGAGAGGGTGGGGTTTGTAGAGGGGTGGGACCTAAGACAGGTACAATGCCATAGACTCTACTCTCCAAAGCAGCAATTTCCTCCTGGGAAACCAGTGTTGCCAATCTCCAGGGGAGGGATGGAGGTCACTTACAACTGCTCTTCAGATGGCAGAGGTTTCCCTGGAGAAAACAGTAAGCTCTGTGTCATTATACCCTGCTGAGGTTGCCACAGCAAATTGATGCTGAGTGCCCAAGGCCAGCGCACCCACCCAGAGGCTCTTTCTAGATCTCATTGTATTTATTTCCACAACAGGCTTTATTCCTAGTTATTTATAAAGCTTGAAAGGAAAGAAAGCAGAGTGCATTTCTTGCTGATCACAGTGTACCTGTCCTGGCACCATGCCAGTTCAAAGGTTGCCCTGAAGGGGAAAAAAATGCCATGATGATCTTTACAATGGTAGAAACAAGCATGTTTACTAAAGGAAAGGCAGCAGTCAAAGGAAATATTTGAAATGAAGAACCTGCAATTGGACATTGACAGTTTTGGTCTATGCCAGTGGATAATGGGGTGGTCCGATGCCCAAGGTAGAAGAAAGGACTGTACCACTTCAAACTCAAGTAGGTTATCAGCAACCAGCCTTGGAACTGACAGAGACATCATGGAAGGAAGGTGCTTGAGCTAGCAAAATTCACTGAGCCAATCCTGGCCCTGAATCGGTCCGCTTTTTTGGTCTTTTACGAAGTAGCTCATTGCTTCTATATCGTTCTGGTATTTACTATGTGGTTGGAGGGATTTTTTATTTAACACACACACACACATTTCTCTCCCAGCAATTTTCAACACAGGATAAACATGATACTGACTGATGCAATCATTACCTCCCATGAAGCATCACTCTGCTAGCCGCCCACCTTTAGAGCGGAAACCATCCCGTGCCCAGTCGTAGTCTGACACCGTATCCAGTTGGAGAATCTGGCAATTTTCTGCCTTTGGGCAAGTTTTACATACCAGTCAAAACCACAAAAGGCCAAATGAAGAAACCCTGAATGAAAAAACTGCCAATTTAGAACTGTATACAAGTGGCGGTTATAGGGAAATGGCACACATACAACCCCCTCCCCTAAGTGCCTATTAATTGTACATAAAGGTAAAGGTAAAGGTTCCCTTGCTCGAAAGCCAGTCGAATCCGACTCTAGGGTTGTGGTGCTCATCTCCGTTTCAAAGCCGAAGAGCCAGCGCTGTCTGAAGACGTTTCCGTGGTCATGTGACCGGCATGACTAAACACCAAGGTGCACGGAACGCTATTCCCTTCCCACCGAAGTGGTACCTATTTATCTACCTGCAATTTTTTACTTTCAAAGTGCTAGGTTGGCAGGAGCTAGAACTAGAGTCGGGAGCTCACTCCGTCATGCGGCACACTCAGGTCTCAAACTGCTGAACTACCGACCTTCCACAGCCTGAAGTTCAGTGTCTTCACCACTTGAGCCACCGCAGCTCCTAATTGTACATAGCGGTGGCATTAGATTTGCAAACGTTTTGCGAACAAGTTCTTGCCAAATCAATCCCTTCCTTTAAGATGCTGCATGACCGGAGCTTATGATGGTGCAAATTCCTTGGCTTGTGTTTGAACCCTCTTTTCATATTCCACTCTGTTTGGGCAATTCTGTAGGCCTCTGCTTGAGCTGGATCTAGAGCCAAGAGGAATCTGGGATGTGCTGACAACCTCCCCCCCTTGCCCCACCTGCAGAGAGGGCTTCTTTAAGGTGCCAAGGTGGGCTGGCTACGGATTGGCTAACAATCGCTTGGATTTGCCCGTAACCACAAGGATTGGTTCAGGGCCCCACAGGAGGGGCGGGACTTTGGGGGATGATGGCCACAGTGCTGATACTCATTCCGGGGCTTTGGAGGACTGTTTCCCAATGTGGCACCCGCCGCACGTTCCAGGAGGGTGTGCAGGGTCATTGGCCGGTAGGGCTTTTGGCTGTCCAGGGACCGGAGCAGCAGTCCTCCCTGAGCTGTGCGCCAGGGCTGCTTAATGGCCCAGACGCTCCAGGGATGTTCTCCACAGCCTCTGTGCTCAGAGGCCACCGTGTGGTTCTTGGAGACCCACGTACGGCTCCGTCTTATGGGCAACATCTCTGTGTACACCAGAGAGCCAGCGTGGCACAGTGGTTAAGAGAGGCGGGCTCTGATCTGGAGAGCCAGATTTAATTCCCCACTCCTGCACAGGAAGCCAGCTGGGTGACCTAGAGCTGGTCACCGTTCTCTCAGAGCTCTCCCAGCCCCACCTACCTCACGAGGTGCCTTTTCTGAGGAGAAGAAAGGAAGGCGATTGTGAGCCGCTTTGAGACCCCTTAGGGTAGAGGAGAACGGGGAATAAAAACCAACTCTTCTCCTCCTCCTTCTCCTCCTCCTGCTGGAAACCAGCCCGAAATAATGCTCTCCCCCAATTTGTGTGCTCGATAGTGACAAAGGGTTCACCCGTTCTTTCCCCAACAGGAGGTGACTGTATGCAATTGTACTAATGGTGCCCTGAGCTCCTCTCTTCCCAGGAAGTCTTTGGCATCTCCTGAGAGCCAGTGCAATGCAGTGGTTAGAGTGCTGGACAGGGATGTGGGAGACCCAGGTTCAAATCCTCCACAGTGCTATGGACTGGGTGACCCTCAGGCGAATCACTCTCTCAGCCTAGCCCACCTCGCAGGGTGGCTGTGAGAACTGTTCTGTCTGGACATGTGTAATCTTTCACTCAGGCTTAACTGCTGTGGGTGCTACTAGCCAGCATAAGGAAGTATGCCTGGGCTTGTCTGGCAGGCTACCTAGATGGAGAGTGGGGAGGCTTGCCTGGGTAGGCCACTTGGTTGGCGTTTGAAGCTCCAGAACAAAGGCAGGCAGGATCCTGGAACCTGCCTGTGGATTGGCCCCCGAGGGCAGCCGGCCAATCTGGAGCCTGGAGGCCATTTGAGCTCACCAATGGCATGGGGGCTGGGCGTGGCTTAGGTGCATATCGTTAGGGCAGTGGCCCCATGTAAAGCAAATCCTGTTGAGATGCAATAAACTTGCTGCTTGCCAAAATCACTCTGCCTTCGCCTCTGCCGTGTTATTTAACGAGAACAAAATGGAGAGGGTATAAACGAAGTGAACCGGTGAATAAAACATTGTGGAGAAAAGCAGAGGGTATCTAAATAAACATTTTGCCCGTGACGGTTCCGTCTCAACTTTATACCTTGTTGGTTCTTCAAAAACAGATACGGAGTATGGCCGTTTCGTGTGTTCAAGAGATTGGGGATTCCGGGCCCCACGCCAGTACCTTTCTTTGGCACTGCCTTCAACTACCGCCATGTGAGTATCTGAGACATTCGTGCCCTGCCCGTGAGCTTTCCCCTGTCTGAAACAGAATGCTGGTTTAGATGCTCTGTTCCCACAGTGTAATCTCTTTTTCCTGCCGTGTCTTCCCCAGGGTTTTGTGCAGTTTGATAACATGTGCCACAAGAAATATGGGAAAATCTGGGGGTAAGTCATCTTTTTAGTACCAGCTTGTATTTCTGAGTGTGGTCCAAGCGATCAGAAAAATACCCCGAGGAGGAAGTGTTCTTCAAGAATGCTTTATTTATTTTTTAAATAGCATTTTAATTGATTTTTATTAATAAACAAGCCTGTATTACTTGTTAGTGTATACAGTATCTTTCAACAACATCTAATAAACAAGAAAAGTTAACCGTACGCACAAAACTTATTAATAAAACACAAAGTCTCTATATTTCCGAGGTAGTGCATATAATCGGGGTTGACAAGCAGTAATAGTAATATATTCAAAAAACACAAATCATTTTTCCAAAAAATTATTAACACCTTTCGGATTGTCAAAAGCTATTAATTGCATAGCGATTTTATCTGAAACTATCAAGTTCCCACAGTTTAGATCTCCATTGTGACAGGTTTGGTACCTTAAACAATTTCCAATTTAAAGCCATTAAATTTTTTGCAGCCATTAGCATAGTAGAAATTAAATCTTCGTTCTGTTTAGACAGCTTCAGACCTGGCCAAGAATGTAACAAAAGAGATGCTTTATCTGCAACTGGCTATCTTAGGCTGCTTTCACACACAGTAAGTAATCCACTTTCAATGCAGTTTCCAGCTGGATCCTGCCAGTTCACACGGTAAAATCCAGTCAGAAAGTGCACTGAAAGTGAAAAGTAGATTTTTTAGTATGTATGACCACAGCCTGAGATAGGTCTCTCCAGATCTATGCAGTAATTTGCCCACTCCAGCTACGTGAGCATTATTTAGGGCTGGCAAAATCTTTGCGCAGGTTGCTGCGGGCTCCGCTACATGCTAGAATTTCTTCTAGGTGTATTTTACTTTTTTTCTTTCTTTTGCGAATTTAGCTGCCAGGGTTGCTTTATCAAGTAAAAAAGTACGGAGGAGGAGATTAGGTAAAGGTTTCCCTTGCTCGAAAGCCAGTCGAATCCAAGTCTAGGGATGCGATGCTCATCTCCACATTCCAAGCCGGAAGAGCCAGCGCTGTCCAAAGACATTTCCGTGGTCATGTGGCCGGCATGACTAGATACCGAGGTGCACAGAGCGCTGTTCCCTTCCCACCGAAGCAGTACCTATTTATCGACTTGCAATGTCTTGCTTTCGAACTGCTAGGTTGGCAGGAGCTGGGGCCAGAGACGGGAGCTCACTCTGTCAGGCGGCACACTCGGGTCTCGAACTGCTGAACTACCGACTTTCTGGTCTGCAGTTCAGTGTCTTAACCACTTGAGCCACCGCAGCCCTTACAGAGGAGGAACTTGCTTGCAAATCCCTCCCAAGCTGTTTTTTAACCATGCTGGGGGGAATCTGACTGGGAGTTTTCTCTCTGGGGGTGGGTGTAAAAAGCACCTTGGAGTCCGCCCCCCTCCATGAGACGACAGGGAAGGAAAAGGTTATACTTTCCTCTCTGACTGTATCACATTCTCCTTGATATAATCCCAGCGGTTTATTTTGTTGTTGTTGTTCAGTCGCACAGTCGAGTCCGACTCTTCGCGACCCCATGGACCAGATCACGCCAGGCCTTCCTGTCTTCCGCTGTCCTCTGAAGTTTGCTCAACTTCATGTTCGTTGCATCTATGACACTGTCCAACCATCTCATCCTTTGCCATCCCCGTCTTCATTGACCTTCAATCTTTCCCAGCATCAGGGTCTTCTTCTCCTGTGAGTGCTCCCTTCTCATTTGGTGGCCAAAGTATTTGAGCTTCAGTTTCATTATCTGGCCTTCCAGGGAACAGTCAGGGTTGATTTCTTTTAGGGTTGACTGATTTGATCTCCTTGCAGTCCAAGGGGCTCTCAAGAGTCTTCTCCAGCACCATAGTGCAAAAGAATCTATTCTTCGGCGCTCGGCCTTCCTTCTAGTCCAACTCTCGCAGCCATACATGACTTCTGGGAATACCATTGCTTTGACCATGCGGACTTTTGTTGGCAGGGTGATGTCTCTACTTTTTATCATGCTGTTTAGGTTCGCCATCGCTTTCCTCCCAAGGAGTAGGCGTCTTATTTTGTAGAACAACCCGAAAGCTTTTTCCAAACAGACACAGAAGAAACTGTATAAGGTATAGCCGAGCCCCAACGATGCAGAGGGCACTTTGTACCCCCACAGGCTGAGAGGAGGGGTAGAAGACGGGCCCGCTGTCCGGGGCTGACATCTGGAAAGGGGGTGAAAGGACCACTTTTTGGGAATTTCCTACTTCACTTTCCTTTTATTCCACCTCTTTCCATCCTTTCCAGCCGGAAAGACGATTGCTCAGTTTTAATCTGCGAGGGCCAAGGGTGGTTTACTAGTCAGGAGACTCTGGAAGAGCCAGGTTCGAATCGCCACACTCTGCCACAACGCTTGGACCAATCTCGCACTCGCGCAGCCTGCCCTACTCCACAGGGCTGTTGCGATGGGAAGAGGGGGAGGAGAGAACGATCTGTGCTGTTCTGAGCTCCTTGGAGAAAAGGTAAAGGTAAAGGTTCCCTTGCTCGAAAGCCAGTCGACTTTAGGGTTGCGGTGCTCATCTCCGTTTCAAAGCCGAAGAGCCAGCGCTGTCCAAAGACATTTCCGTGGTCATGTGGCCGGCATGACTAGACACCAAGGCGCACGGAACGCTGTTACCTTCCCACCGAAGTGGTACCTATTTATCTACTTGCAATTTCTTGCTTTCAAACTGCTAAGTTGGCAGGAAAGGCCGGGTTTAAAAGGTACTATAGACTGAAAGACATACTAGAGGCCTGCAGCCGAATCCTGCAGACTGTTTCGAAAGCAGTAGGTGAGCGTCTGCCTTCCTCACTAGACCTTTCCACTCTTCTCCCTCCCCTCCAGTTTTCCTTCTTTTCATTCTTCTGGACCACTCCCTGTTTTCCAACCACCCCACTGGGTCCCGGTTGTCGCTACCCTGTCTCCCTTTGCCAGCGCTGCCATGCTATGACATCAGAGCAGTTCAGCCAATCGGCAATCAGGGACCCTTCTGCTTACCCTAAACCCTCTGTGACACCGCAGTAATTGAAACCCGTGCCAGAGGCAATGACTCCACCTTTCCAAACATACTCAATATATCGCAATGTAGACTGTCATCGGTAGAACCTGACTGTACCTTCTTATTCTTACTGCAGATATTATGACGGCCGGCAACCTGTGTTAGCCGTAATGGATCCCACCATCATCAAAACTGTACTAGTGAAAGAGTGCTACGCCAACTTCACCAATCGCCGGGTAGGCACCCAACTTCTAACTTAATTGGCGTGGTGGGAGGAGGCAGAGGTCATTTCGGGGGGATCGCGGGGGATCGCAGTTCCCCCAGGTGAGGTACGGGAGGTGGGGCACATGACGAAGCCCCGCCCCCTGCTTCCGGCCGCCCCGCTTCCAGCCCTCATTCAGCCAGGAGGAGGCAGGAGAGGGCCCCTCATGGGGCTCGGCAGTGGAGCTGCAAGTCCGCTGCCGGCGGCCGGGACCGTTGGGGGCGGGGTGTGCGGCCTTATGACACACCTCTGGTGATGTCAGGGGGTGTGGCCTTATGACACACTTCCGGTGTTGTCAGGGGGTGTGGCATATGCTAATGAGTCCCCCTCGCTCTTTTTCTACGAAACGACCCCTGGGAGGAGGGATGTTTTTGCAGGCGTCATCCAATAACCAATTTACTCCAGTGCTTACTGGTGTCACAGGTCCCTGCAGGACAGCTCTGAAGTCTCAAGTCTGGGATCCGCCATGTGTTCAGATCCTAGACAAACCTGCATAATCGGGTATGGCTAACGTGGTTTCCTTTTTGCACTCTAGAATATAGACTTGGTGGGAATGCTGGATCAAGCTGTGTCAATAGCAAAGGACGAGCAGTGGAAAAGGATTCGCACCGTCCTGTCGCCGACCTTCACCAGCGGGAAGCTGAAGGAGGTAAAAATGCGGGAAGGGTATGGGGACATTCAAATCCTGACTGACTCAGCTCTTGCAGTGGAAAATATGGCCCATTCAGCTCAAACGCAATCTCCATGGCCTACTCAGCACCCGCTTTAGGGATAGTTAGAGTTGCTATGGGCGTGAGCGGCATTTGAGAAGCCCAGATTTCAAATCTCATCTCAGCCGTCCATTTGCCTGGTGGCCTTGGGGGGAACTGCCTAAGGATGCCATCCTACGGAGAGCTGCACCCTTCTGAGTTGGCTGAAGACCTTAAGGACCTTAAGGACGGTACACTCCAGGGCTTCCCACACCTTTCAAACCATCAAACTCCATTCTGACAACTGGCCCGTAGCCACGGTGGGGCTATTCGGGGCTCTGCCCCCTCCCTTAAAGGAAAAGCCCCTCAAGATTTCCTTCCAAAAATGCTTTTAAAATTATTTTTAGAAACATTATTTTAAAAGGTGCTCGCTCCCTGGCTGCACCCAATAGACCCAAGAATCACTTAAAAAAAAAAGTCGTGAGCGAGAATCACCTTACCCTGTGAGCAGAAGCCGTGGCTCAGCGACGCCCGGCAGTGTGTTTCTTCCTTTTTCTTTTTTCTTTGAAAAAGAATGACAAATAATGACAGCCCCACCAGAAAAAAATTTGCCCCACAAGCCACAAAATCCTGGCTTTTTGTTGTTGTTCAGTCGCACAGTCGAGTCCGACTCTTCGCGACCCCATGGACCAGATCACGCCAGGCCTTCCTGTCTTCCGCCGTCCTCTGAAGTTGGCTCAATTTCAAGTTTGCTCAATTTCATGTTCCTGGCTACGGGCCTGCAAAGCCTGGCGGGAAGAACCACAAAAATGGCTGCTCTGGGAGGCGCAGCTAACCACAAAATGCCAGGAATCAGGGTTACATAGTGTTGTAAAATAGTCAAAAAGTGTTTAATACTTAGACTATTAGATGGATCTTGCTCTATTGGAAAGAAGAGATTTCTTTCCTTTTAAAAATACTTTATTCTAAGGGGAAAGGGTTCACGGGACTACTACAAATCAACATAACACTAAGAGCTACATTTCTATGCTGCCTACAGACAAAACAAGCACACATGTAATGGAGATTCTCTCCTTCTTCTTGACCCCTAGAAAGGAAGTCACCTGAAACAAATGACCAATCTGTATCACAGTAGAAAGCTACTTTTCCCGGGCTAGTTCCCGATTGGCTCAGTGCCAGGTATCCCTTCCAGGTCAGTCTAAACAATAGCAATACTAGGAATACAAGTTAACCCTAGAATGACTGAATCAGACCTTGAAAACACATACATTTCCAACACATAGAACACTAATAATAGTAACTCTTCAACATTTCAGGCAGCAGCTCTGTTTAGCAGGATGCCTTTTAATCTGCACAGCCAATCAGAAGCCCTGCTGGGGGAAAAGCCCTACTTGCACAGCCAATCAGAAGCCCTGCTGGGGGAAAGCTGCACCTGGCCCTGCCCACTTTCTAAAAGCAGTCGGTGGGTGGCGGGAAATTCAGTTGCATTTGCAGTTCTTTATGACATCCCCCCCCCTTCTCCGATCAGGTCCTTAGATCAGGTCCCTCCTGCTTGTGTCTTTCAGATGTTCCCCATTATAAAAAACTACGGGGAAGTTCTTGTGCAGAACGTGCAGAAGAAAGTGGAAAGGGACGAGCCCATCGAGGTGAAAGAGTAAGTCGTTCGACCAGAAGAAGATGCAGATCCCATCAGAACCTACCTTGCCGGCGGGGGACTCCTGTGTGGCTCCCGGTGCGCGCGCCGCATGCACATCACAGGGAAGGGACGTCATGACACCAGGCACGCTGGGGGCGGGGCCACGACCATACAAGGGAAAACCATAGAGTTTTCCCTTGTATGGCCGTGGCCCCGCCCCCAGCGTGCCCGGCGTCATAACGTCACTTCCCTGTGACATGCACGCTAGGGCGGGGTTCCCCCGGGGCCCAATTCCCCGGCATCGGGGAACGGGCCTCTGGGGCAGGGATTTTTCCGCCCCCCGGGGGGTCTTGGCAGCCCTAAAGAGAGCTCACGTTGCTGAAGTGCCCCTGGCACCCATTACAACATACGAGCAGTTCGGTTTGGTCACCGGGACAACAGGCAACCTTTTTGTCTCTTGTTTTTTTAGCCCACAAATATAATGCCAGCTTGGATGCTCTCTCTCTCTCTCTCTCCTGCCCCCCCCCCCAGGATCTTTGGTGCTTACAGCATGGACGTCGTCACCAGCACCTCGTTCGGGGTGAATATCGACTCCCTGAACAACCCCAAAGACCCTTTTGTCAAGGAGATCAGGAAGATGACCAAGTTTAACTCTTCTGACCCACTCATCATTCTGTCAGGTAAGTTCTCTTCGGATTGTCCAAAGCTCAGTAAACGTCTACAGCCACGTTATAAGCATATTTTTTTCCCTTTTCACGTCCTGACCACGGACTTGTGAAAGTTCTACAGTTTTTCATGCTTTTTAATTTTTATTTGATTTTTTTTTAACTTTTGAATCCTGACCACAGACTGATGAAAGTCTGGCAATAGTTCACTGTTTTTGGATCCTGATGGCCGACCTCTGAAAGCTTGGCTATTTTGCCTCTCTTTTTGCTATTTTTGCTGTTCATAAAATCGATAGAATGTTAGAGTTCGAAGGGACCTTGCAGGTCATCTAGTCCAACCCCCTGCACTCTGCAGGAGCATAGCCGAAAGATAGCCCTACAACCTACCCGAAAGATGGTCATCCAGCCTCCGCTTGAAAACGTCCAGTGAAGAAGCATCCACCACCTCCCGAGGCAGTGTGTTCCACTGCTCAACCACTCTTACAGTTAGGAAGTTTCTCCTGATATTTAGCTGCATCGCCCTGCATAGCCACGTTGCACTGCAGGCTCATGTTTAGCTGTTGCTTGACTTTTGGGGAGTTGACTGTGGACCTGTGAATGTTTTGCTTATTTCTGACTATTTGTTTTGGTTTGATTCTCAGGTCCTGACCACAAATCTATGAAAGTCTAGCCCCTCCCTCCCTCCCTCCCTCCCTTCCCCACTCTCCTTCCCATTGCAGTCTGCATATCCTGGGTGGAGAGAAATCATACAACCTTCCTTCCTTCCTTCCTTCCTTCCTTCCTTCCTTCCTTCCTTCCTTCCTTTGTATTTTTCTTTCTTTGAGATTTCAGGTCCTGAAAGTTGCATAGAATGGGTGCTACTACTGAGAAGGCCCTGCACCTTGGCAGATAGAAATTTGTACAAAATAGGATTGCCCATCTCTTCGTGGTGGCTGGAAGTCTTCTGGAGTTACAGCTGATTTCTAGACAACACACATCAGTTCCCCTGAAGAAGATGACTGCTTGGGAGGGTGGACTCTATGGCATTATATCCAGCGGAGGTCCCTCCCCTCCCCAGGCTCCACCCACAAATCTCCAGGAAGTTCCCAACCCAGAGCCAGAAACCCTTGTGTAGAAGGGAAATGCAGCATAGCCTTCCCTGAGGGCCTGAGGGATAAGAGTGACCACAGGAGACTGGGGCTTCTTCATACAGACCTCCTCCTACATAACGAACATTTCCGTTGTGCTGGGAACAACATACAACCCGAATGTAGGCCGCCACATGTGACAATCTGGGAACAAAAAGAGGGGAAGAAAAACTTAACGCAAACAAATTGAATTAAGAAACCAAAAGGTTAATTCCCACAAATATATGGGCCAAATTTCAGTTAGAAACATATAAAGGTAAAGGTTTCCTTGCTCAAAAGCCAGTCGACTCCGACTCTAGGGTAGCGGTGCTCATCTCCGTTTCAAAGCCGAAGAGCCAGCGCTGTCCGAAGACGTTTCCGTGGTCATTTGGCCGGCATGACTAAACGCCAAGGCGCACGGAACGCTGTTCCCTTCCCACCGAAGTTGGACCTATTTATCTACTTGCAATTTCTTGCGTTCGAACTGCTAGGTCGGCAGGAGCTATTTATATTTTTTTTAATTTATATTTATATGTGAAACATATAAATATTATCAAATATAGCAAAATACATGTATTTATGACAGATTAGACAAAAACAGATATAGGCTCTTCTTGGGCCTGTGTCTGTTTTTATCTAATTTGTCATAAATACATGTATTTTGGTATATTTGATAATATTTATGTTTCTCAATGACATGACATGTGACGATCCTACATGCGTGTGTTTTGGAATACTGTGCAGTTCTGGTCACCACACCTTAAAAAGGATATTATAGCTTTGGGAAAAAGTGCAGAAAAGGGCAACTCGAATGATAAAAGGGTTGGAACACTTTCCCTGTGAGGAAAGGTTAAAGCGCTTAGGGCTCTTTAGCTTGGAGAAACGACGACTGAGGGGAGACATGATCGAGGTTTATAAGATTATGCGTGGGATATAGCAGGTAGAGAAAGAGGTACTTTTCTCCCTTTCTCACAATACAAGAACTCGTGGGCACTCCATGAAATTGCTGAGTGGTCGGGTTAGAACGGATAAAAGGAAGTACTTCTTCACCCTAAGAGTGATTCACACGTGGAATTCACTGCCACAAGAAGTGGTGGCGGCTACAAGCATGGACGGCTTCAAAAGGGAATTAGATAAGCATCTGGAGCAGAGGTCCATCAGTGGCTATTAGCCACAAGGCATGGATAGGGACTCTGGGGCAAGGGATGCTCTGTCATCTTGGTGCTTGGGGGGGGTCAACAGTGGGAGGGCTTCTAGTGTCCTGGCCCCACTGGTGGACCTCCTGATGGCACCTGGTATTTCTGGCCACTGTGTGACAGACAGAGTGTTGGACTGGATGGGCCTTTGGCCTGATCCAACATTGTTTCTTATGTTCTTATGTTCTGTTGTGGGCATGTGTTGCGAAGTGGCAACTCGTGGGCGCACAAAGCGACGGGCCACTTGCAAGCGCTGAAGGTTTCCCCCACAGAAGGCAAAAAATTAGGTTTTGCTCCAGGGAGGAGGGCTTCCCTTTCACAATGCGTTTCTCTCCTGTTGCAGTCATGTTCCCATTCCTCACCCCTATTCTTCGGTTAATGAAGGTGAACCTCTTCCCTAACGATGCTCTAGATTTCTTCTCAAGATCAGTTCGGAAAATAAGGGAAGAGCGGCAGAAAGAAGGCAAAGGGGTAAGAACTGGGGCGCCGCCCAATTTTGGCATCAAACATTGTCAGCACAGAAGCATGGACTGTCCTCTGTCCCGAGTGTCGTTTGTTTTCAAGAAGCTATCCGAATCCTGGTTAAATCAGTTCTCGACACCATTCACTTCGAAGACAGTTAGTTTGTTAAGTTTGTTAGTTGCTGGCCCCGGTCACACGGGCCAGGTAACGCGGGGGTGGGGGGAGGCGTGGCTGTTCACCCCGGAGCAAAATAAAGCACGGTAGCCCAATCACACGGTCCCCCAAGGCTTTGCGCTTAGGCCGTTAGCTGGCGATCACACAGCAATGCTGGAGCGTGGCAAAGACAGGAAGAGAAGCCATGAAATGGTAATACACCTTGACACTTGAGTCCCAATCAAATCCCTAGATCAGGGAGAAAATCCCCGGGCACCCTACAGCTAAAGAACATTGGTTACATGAGAAACATGCAACTCCCTGTGAGTAACATAAACAAACATTTAGCCCCAGACATACTGAGTGTTTTCAACTTGTAATACCCAACAAAAAGTCACAACAGCATTTTCCCTCCAAATTCCAGCTCTGAGTAGGCTCTAAGAATAAAATGGCAGCCTTGTTAGAGCAGAAGAAAGCCTATTTTGTCCAGAGCTCCACTTCAAATGGCAGCCAGGCAGATACCTTTCCAAGCTCACAAGCAAGGTCGACTGCCTCTGCACAGGGAGGCTCCATTTAGCTCCCACGGTTCGTGGCTGTCGACAGACCTTTCCTCTTTTCTCCAGTTCATGTCCCCATTGACCCATTCATTCCATTCCCAGGACCGGGTGGATTTCCTGCAGCTGATGATCGACTCCCAAGGAGAAAACAGCAACGGCGCCAACGGCCATCAGCAGAGCAATGGGGTGGATCACTCATTCAAAGGTAACAGCACACAAGTCGCCCCTCGCGCTTTGGGATTTGCGGGGCCTTGAAGTGAGGGCGGATGCAAGAGTTCTCTGTTGAAGAAGAAGAAGAAGAGTTGGTTTTTATACCCCGCTTTTCTCTACGTTAAGGAGTCTCAAAGCCGCTTACAATCACCTTTCCTTTCCTCTCCCTACAAGAGGCACCTTCCGAGGTCGGTGGGGCTGAGAGAGTTCTGAGAGAACTGTGACTGCCCCAAGGTCACCCAACTGGCTTCATGTGGAGGAGGAGTGGGGAGTCAAACCCAGTTCTCCAGATTAGAAGAAGAGTTGGTTTTTATACCCCACTTTCCTCTACCTTAAGGAGTCTCAAAGCAGTTTACAATCGCCTTTCCCTTCCTCTCCCCACAAGAGGCACCTTATGAGGTTGGTGGGGCTGAGAGAGTTCGGAGAGAACTGTGACTGGCCCAAGGTCACCCAACTGGCTTCATGTGGAGGAGGAGTGGGGAATCAAACCCGGTATTCCAGATTAGAGTCCGCCGCTCTTAACCACTACGCTGCGCTGTCGGTTGATATCCAAACAATCAGCACCAGTCCCAGATCTCACAATACACACAAAGTAGAAAGCTACATTCAGGAGATGCTCAGGGCAATCTCTGGCAGGGCACCGATATCAGTGGAGTGATCCCATGCCCACGGTCCCAGCAAGGCCCCTCTTCTTAAAAAGGTAAAGGTCCCCTTGCTCGAAAGCCAGTCGAGTCCGACTCTAGGGTTGCGGTGCTCATCTCCGTTTCCAAGCCGAAGAGCCAGCGCTGTCTGAAGACGTTTCCGTGGTCATGTGGCCGGCATGACTAAACACCAAGGCGCACGGAAGGCTGTGACCTTCCCACTGAAGTGGTCCTTATTTATCTACTTGCAATTTCTTGCTTTCGAACTGCTAGGTTGGCAGGAGCTGGAACTAGAGACGGGAGCTCACTCCGTCATGCGGCACACTCGGGTCTCAAACTGCTGAACTACCGACCTTCCACAGCCTGCAGTTCAGCGTCTTAACCACTTGAGCCACAGCAGCTCCTCTTCTTACTTTGCCCAAAATTGCCAAGGAGGTCAGAAACAGAAAGCGAGTATTCTCGGCTTTCCGTCGGGGATAATGGGACCCTTGAGTGACACGTGCCCGTAGGCCCCCCAAATCCTGGCCCTGTCATTCAGTCCACATGTTTGGAACACTCAGAAGGTTATTCTCGACTTGGCAATAAACACTGAACACGCCTCTGAATCAGTGTCGACAGAATCCACAAAGCAACCTTGGCAAGACGTCAAGTTTTCATGGGTGCGTTCAGCAAACACGAACCGACAATACCTAGAAAAGGGATCTCCTCTGCTCTAGGTGTGAACCGGGAAGCTATTTTCTAGAGACTGAAGGAGGAATACCAGCAAAACAAAGAGTCACGTGTGAACTGGGTTTTTTTTTGGGGGGGCGGCGGAACGCACTATAGAATTTGAGAAAGAAGCCCAAGAAACTTGGAAGCGTATTCACAGTACGTTCTCAGTGCTTGGGAGAGTCACACAGAGTGTTATGGGATGGTTCCCACACCCCACTGCGGTTCTGTCTAGGACAAACACACACCAAATCCTTGCATACGCTTATGTAGCATAAGCAGGGCTATTTTGGGGCAGGAACGCACAGGAACGGAGTTCCGGCTGGCTCCCAAGTTGGCCATGCCCAGCAGGAACTCATTAGCATAATAGGCCACACCTAACAGCAGGAACTCATTCGGATTGGCTACATTAGGGGTGTGTGGCCTAACATGCAAAGGAGTTCCTGCTACAAGAAAAGCCCTGGGTTTTGACAACAAACAAGGTGAACAGAATAAGAAGCAAAAGGTGGGTGTGGCTGGATGACCACACTTCTGGTAACATGGGGGTGTGGCCTAATAGACTAATGAGCTATGCTGCCAGGGGTGTGGCTGGATAGGCTAATGAGTTTTAATTGTTGGGTGTGGCCTATTATTCTAATGAGTTCCTGCTGGGCTTTTCCTACAAAAAAAGCCCTGTGCATAAGGACAGATGCTCACTGGAGTCTTTGGGTTTCACCTTTGCTGCCTCCATTTGTTCCGAGGCTTGACCGACGCTGAGGTTCTGGCCCAAGCCGTCATCTTTATTTTCGCCGGATATGAGCCGTCCAGCAGTTCTCTGGGCTACATCGCCTACCTCTTGGCCACGCACCCTGACGTCCAACAGAAGCTTCATGACGAGATCGAGTCTGTTCTCCCCAACAAGGTGAGCCCATCGACGGCACAACCAAAGTGGCCGGCGTCTCTCTTGGGTTTGCTCAGGTCCCCCAGTTTACTTCAATTAACAACACTCATCCTTTGAAACAAAAATGTCCCCTACAGTCAACAGGCAGCCCTGCAGTCCTTCAGTAACACAAGAGAAACAATAACTTGTCCGGACGCAGTGTTCCCTCTTAGCTGAGTTAGGGTTGCCTCAGTGCTTAATTCTCGTGGACCTTTCTTACACGCCCAGGGAAATGCTGATTGCCACTTTGTGGCCAGGGATCCTGGAGCCTCCCCCCCTTTCTGGGAATGGAACAGGGGTCATGGGGGGTGTCTCTTCTCTTTTCAGAGTATCCACTTTTGAAGCAGACTTTCTTTAAACCTTGAGAAAGCTCACACTTTGGGAAAGAGGAAAAGGAACCAGGAAAAGCTACAAACATTATTGTTGGACTGTTTCGCGGATGTATATATGGAACTCTGTTAGTGAAAGAGTTTACTTCAGAGTCATTGTTTTGGAGGAGTTGCATTCATCTGCAGAAAAAAAATATCAGGGTTTGCTCACTACTGCAGAGTTACTATCCTTTGTTCAAGTCTATACTATTACAGTTTGTAATACTCAGTGAACATTCTCTTACTACTCCAGAGTTACTATCCTCTATTCATGTCTATACTATTACAGTTTATAATACTCAGTGAACAATCTCTTGTTTACATAATTTGTAATTGAATTACCTAGATATATAAGAAAACTACATAAAGGATGGTATTTTTACTATTTCAATATTTGTTTTACAGTTCTGGTTGTTGTTGTTGATTCTGTGAACTTAGGTAGATCATGAGAGGGAGGGCAGGAAGGGTTGGATCAGTACTTAGTTCTTGTGGCCCTTTCTTACATGCCCAGGGAAATGCTGATCTCCACTTTGGGGTCAGGAAGCAATTTTTCTCCAGGCCAGTTTGGCTGGAGATCCTGGAGGTTTTTTGTCATCTTTTGGGTGTGGAACAGGGGTCACTGGGGTGTGGGGGGGGAGGTATTTGTGAATTTCCTGCGTTGTGCAGGGGGTTGGACTAGATGACCCTGGAGGTCCCTTCCTACTCTATGATTCTGTGATTCGATGACTTATAGTGACGCCATGGGGGTGTCAAGGGGAGAGACAAGCAGAGGTGGTTTGCCATTGCCGGCCTCTACATAGCCACCCTGGACTTCTTTGGCAGTCTCCCATCTAAGTGCTATTCAGAGCCGACCCAGTTTACTTTCCGAGATCTGATGAGACCGAGCTAGCCTGGGCCGTCCAGGCCAGGGCCCAGGATCGTGGCTCTGCTCCAAATTGTGCTCCCCCCAGCCAATGGGAACTCGGTTCTAACATTAAAGGAAATTTTAAACACTGAAATGTCCGGATCGGCACTCCGACATTTGACCGGCAGCCGTTCATTTCTCTCGTCTTTCTCGAATGCAACCAGGTTCAGCAAAGAGAACAGAGAAAGCATCGATCCTTACACGTACCTGCCCTTCGGAGCCGGTCCCCGGAACTGCATTGGGATGAGATTTGCGCTGGTCACGATGAAAGTGGCGATTGTGAGGCTCCTGCAGCATTTCTCCTTCAGGACCTGCAAAGAAACCCCGGTGAGTGTCCCCAAGTGGAGGAAACTCTCGGGAAATGTTGGCATGATTTTTTGCAGCAGATATTTCCTGGGATCCTCAACTGTTGAGTAACTCTACGCTTTCCCTTCCTCCAAATTGTTTGTTCCTCAGTGATGGAAATAGAAATGAGCAGGGCTTTTTTCCTGGGGGAATGCACCACGATGGAGTTCCTCTTCCTCAAAATTCTTTTTAAAATGTTTTAAAGTGCGCGAGTTTTCAGCATACAGACTGGAAACTTCATTTCCCTCTGGAGAGTTCCAGCACCTCTTTTCCAAAAATAAAAAGTGCCTCTAAAATGAGACGGGGGAACACGGCTGAGTGGCAGACGATCTGTCTTGAATGTATAAAGTCCCAGGTTCAGTCCCAACCTCTCCTCAGGTAGTCGGCGATGTTTAAAAAGGTCTCCCGAGAACCAATGCAAGTACAGGTAGACAACGACCATGGTAGACTGTGACAGACTGTGATAGCCCAAGAATCCGTGTCTCTGCATGGCATGGCAAATTATTGAATTATTTTTTCTTTTGTGTTTTGAAAGAATGAGCGGGAGATACCCATTCAGTATAAGGAGGTTTCAAAGACCCTTTTAATTGTTTTTTTTTTAAAAAAACAGATAATTTTAATTCATTTTTATAAACAGCAAAGATTTACAAGGTAAGCATGAGCATAGGCAGCTCTCAGTGGCTTCATACATTTCGTACAATTTGTCGGTATTATCCAGTTTGAAAATTACCATCGATGCAGAGTGTTTATTACATCAGGTACTGTTTCTTTGGTAGATAGGTGTACTAATATGGGGTACCCTACATATACAATGTCATTCTGACCACCTCTAGATCGATTTTGTTTCAGAGTCTCTGAGATTTTCTCCATTCTATAAAGGTTCCATAGCTTTTTGTACCAGAGGTTTACATTTGGCCTACTCGTGGATTTCCATGTGGCTGCTAATGTGGTTTTGGCTGCAAATAGTAATAGAGAGATTCTTTTCCTTTGTGTATTAGAGAGAGCATTTTCCTCTCTGAGATTTAAAAGCAGAGCTTCCGGGGATTTGTCTATCTTGATTTTGGTTATGATCATTATTTCTTCCATTATTTTAACTGTTGTTGCAGCAAAAACACACAAAATGCCCTGGCCTGTTGCCTAGGTTAGCACACATGTAATAGTATATATGTCTTTCCTGAATGCCATCAAGGAAGGAGGGGGAGGTGACTTATCTCGGGATACTTTTCCCTAAGCCCAGGAAACCGAAGAGTTAAGGCACCAAACCTCTAATCTGGTTCGCCTGGAAGGCTTGTTCTTCAGTTGGGGTAACCGGTTTGTTAACTGGGATCAAAATATTCTATAACCTCCAAATTTATACATTTTTTTCTTGCTGGATCTCGCGCTGCCACAGTATTTTGAATAGTTCGCCGTTCTCATCCTGTACTATTGATAACAACTATATTTTAGCCTTCAGTAAATATTTTTGTATGGAGCTGCAGTGGCTCAAGTGGTTAAGACGCTGAACTGCAGTCTGTGGAAGGTCAGTAGTTCAGCAGTTTGAGACCCGAGTGTGTCGCATGACGGAGTGAGCTCCCGTCTCTAGTTCCAGCTCCTGCCAACCTAGCAGTTCGAAAGCAAGAAATTGTCTGTGCGCCTTGGTGTTTAGTCATGCTGGCCACATGACCACGGAAACGTCTTCGGACAGCGCTGGCTCTTCGGCTTGGAAACGGAGATGAGCACCGCAACCCTAGAGTCGGATCTGACTGGCTTTCGAGCAAGGGAAACCTTTACCTTTAAATATTTTTGTATGTTTCTTTACTTCATCCTCTTTGACCACGGTAGTTGTACTTTGTTTGTATTCCCTAACTGTGTACCTCCTTGTAATTTTTTTTGGCAGATTCCCCTGGGGCTGGATACCCAGGTCTTCTTAATGCCAAAGAGACCGATTGTTCTGAAGTTGGTGCCACGAGAAAAGGAAGAATGAAGCCGGGTTGTGATTTGGACACCTCTGCAGAGGATGCAAACTGTTGAGACCTTGCACCGTGCCCATGCAGAGATTCTACAAAGAGAAATCCCATTTGTTCGGAAGACAACGTCTAGATATCTACCGACAGACAGACAGACTGAGGGATGTTATTAGCTTTCATAATGATTAAAGTCAAAATGATTCCTCTGGTTAAGGCTCATCTGCACTTACATCCATTCCATTCCATTTTAACTGTCGTGGCTTCTCGGCAGAGAATCCTGGGAAATGTAGTTTGGGAAAAGATGCTGAGGATCTGTCTTCCATCTCGGCACACACAGCAGGGAGGGAAGGAGTGAACCAGACAGTATAGCAGGTTCATGCCGGTCATTAACAAACTCTGGTGTGTTGGTGACATTCAGCACACCATGAGTGTTAGGTACCATTTTTACATCCCATTGCTAAAGACATCCTGAATGCGCTATCCATGAACCAAGCCTGCACACCAAGGTCTATTGGGTGTTGTAAATAAGAAGCGGGAGACTGACCACTTATGAAGGTGCACAGAGAGTTTATATAGTTATAAAGGTGAATATATACAGAGATATTTACAGGCTATCGTACAGCATGTCATGCCTTAGTCTATGAGAACGAAGTCCCCATCCAGCTTACTAAGCTGATAGCTATTATGCTAAACCCCAGCCAATCTCTAACAGGGTGATGCTATCACTAACTCTAACAAGCCCTGAAAGAGTAACAACTGCTAGAAAACACCTGGCTGTAATTACATGATTACTAGCATGACAGCTAGGTCTGACAAACAGATCAAACTGATCTATAGTAATTGCTTGCTACCTCTATCACTCTGACATATATCTCAATAAGGTCTTGAAGAGAAGTGCACTTGCAGAGAACTCCCTGGAGGCAGGACGAAGGCCTTGAGCAGAAATTCAGGGAAGAACGGACGACAGTGAAATGTTTTGTGGAGCTGGATAAATTTTTCTGGTCTGATATATCACTCAAAATGAGGGCATGGAAATGACGTTTCCAGCAACGTCCAGACAGCCCCCTCGCCTGTCATGGTCCTGATGTTCCATGTGTCATTTACAGATCTGGTGGTGGTGGTGGGGAGAGACTAGAGTCTCCAGCATGGCACTGTGTTTCACATCCGTTCTTCCCACTCCACGCCCCAATGCTAGATGAATCCCATAAATGGGTATGGAGGGACAGGGCATGAAGATGGGAAGGAACAGCAATTGGATCACCAGTTTGGTGTCGTGGTTAAGTGCGCGGAATCTAATCTGGGAGAACCGGGTTTGATTCCCCACTCCTCCACATGCACCTGGCTGGATGACCTTGGGCAAGCCATAGTTCTGATAAGAGCTGTCCTTGAAAAAGAGCCGTTTCTGTCAGAGCTCTCTCAGCCCCACCTACCTCACAAGGTGTCCGTTGTGGGGAGGGGGAGGGAAAGGAGTTTGTAAGGCGCTCTGAGATACCTTTGGGTAGTGAAGGGCGGGGTATAAATCCAAACTCTTCTTCTTCTTCTTTTACCTCACAGAGTGTCCGTTGTGGGGAGGTGAAGGAAAAGGAGTTTGTAAGCCGCTCTGAGACACCTTTGGGTAGTGAAGGGCGGGGTATAAATCCAATCTCTTCTTCTTCTTTTAAGTGACATGTGCCCCTCTGGGTGCATTCAGATGGTTCTTTAGATTCATGTGGGGCACGAGTGCCTCATGGATTTAAATGTAATGTCTAGACATCAACATCTGGAAAACGTCCGTCTTCCATGAGCATCCCGTTTTGCCGCACTTTGGAGCCATACTAAAAAGGTATTAGTTAAAATCTGGAGTTTTCCATTCCGATGGGCCAATCGTGGACTTCCCCCCATCTGATCATTCCAGCGCGCAATTAAAAAATTGTGATTTTTAAAAAATCTTGATTCTTTGCATGCGCAGATAAACAAGGCCATGATATCACACCCATGTGCATGCGCAAAATTTTTTTTAACCCCCACCGCGCATGCCTCCTTCAGTGGACGCCGTCTAGACAATCCACAGCGGAAGCAGCGCACTGTAAGGAGATTCCCCCGGGGGATATCTGGTTGTGCGAGGACGGATTTAAAAGATCGGGACCAAATTTGAGCCGGCATAATGGCGGGATTAGCTGCCCGTCTGAACGCACCCTCTGGTAATCACTCCACTGGGGAAGCTGCATTCGTCTGCTATCGCAAAAGGAGATGGGGATTTTGGGGCACCTGAGAGATGGACACATTTTTTCCCTCCCACAGAGAACTTTTGTGGGCTAGAGCGGCTGAAGAAGGGTGTGTGTAGAAAATGAAAGCTTTGTGTTGGAATAAAAATTGTGCTGGTCGTTTCAGGTGGCACCATAGTCCGGTATGGTTTTGCCACTTAGGCTGACTTTCCTGGATTGTGGAACTCCCTATTGCTGGAGGTTTGCCACCATCTAAGGATTGCTTTTTCGGACGAGATCCAAGCCTGCTTAGTCGGGTAGTCTGTTTCCTACGCTGATCAGCCTGATGCTTTTGAGAAATTCAGGGCGGTACACACTTCCCCTGTCCGGTCATTTGTCTTCCGGCATCTGGTATCCAGAGATGCACTGCCTCTGAAAATGGAGGTTCTATTTAGCTAACAAAACCACTAGCTGTTGATAGACCTATCCTCCCTCTCGGCCTAGTGGTAGGTTTGCCAACCTGGGATTACAACCAGTGTTCCCTCTAAGCTGAGTTCGTGTGAGCCAGCTCACATTCTGTAGCTTCCGGCTCACACATTTTTGTCTCCGCTCAGGACCGATGGCTCCAGAGCAAACTAATTGATGCAGCAGCCAAATCGCTGGCTCGCAACTTTAAGGCCAGGAGCTCACAAAGTAGGATTTTTGCTCTCAAGGGCTCCACAGTTTACAGGGAGTGTAATGATTCCTTGTTTGATATGTGTTTGTGTCTCTTTAAAAGTTTGGTTGCATGGCTGTATGATAGTCTAGAGTGGTTGAAACAGGCAACTGGTGTGTTTGGTGATTGACAGAGAGGGGGAGGGATGAATGTGTATGTCAGTCAAGAGTTACAGTTTAGACAGTTGATAAAGACAGTTGAGAAGTAGTTAAGTTCTGTGTATGAGAGGAATGAGACACATCCCTGTGTGGGATAAGTTAGTTCGGAAGTCTGAGAGAGAGACAGTATGGTGTGTGATACAAGAGTTAAGTTTTGTGTATGAAGAAAAGTTGAAAGTATAAGGAAACAAGAAAGTAAAGTTAAAGAGAAAAATAAAAAGTCTGAGTGTATGTCCTGGAGAGAAACAGTGAACTATATGACCCTGAGTAATGAGTTACAAAGTTACTTGAAAACCCCCTGTCAGTAAGAGAGCATATTGTGTGTGATACACCAAGCAATGGTTCATTGATTACATATTATTAGATATCTTGTTCTACCCTGTTGCTTATGGATTATTTCAATAAAGTTTTTATTTAAGTCTGCCAGCTCTGAAAGAAATAATTCCTCAGGAAACACATAGACCCTCATGAAAGCCTAAAACCTCGACCTACCTACCCAGTGAAAGAAATATTATATTATAAAGGTTTGGAAAGCCTTAAAATTTCCTGGTGGCAGCCGGAGATACACAGTAAAGCAAAACATAAAGAACATTTTAAAGTAAAACCAGACCTCCCCAGTTAAGGGGTCGTCACAGGGAGCATTGATTACAACTGATCTCCAGGAGACAGAAATCTGTTCACCTGGAGAAAATGGCTACTTTGGAAGGTGGGCTCTCTGGCATCACACCATGCTGAGTTCCCTCCCCTCCCCAAACCCCACCCCCTTCAGTCTCCACTTTCAAAATATCCAAGTATTTCCCAACTCAGAGCTGGCGACCCTAGACAATCATCATCATCATCATCATCATCATCATCATCATCATCATCATCATCATCATCATCATCATCATCATCATCATCATCTTTCAATTTATTAATCGCTCAGTCCTGCAAAGCTTGCTGGCACTGAGCGATTTACAGTTACTCAAATACACACGGGACTAACAATGATTCAAGTGGTAAGGGAGGACAACATATAATCTTTAAACCACACACGTTCAGAGCTGACGGGGAGTTTGTTCTGCTGTAAGGTCAGACGTGTTCCAACGGCATTTCCCGCTTGGCGTGGCTTGATGTCGTCAGCTTTCTCCGGACTGCTTCACGTTGCAGCGCAGCACTGCCACCACCTGGCCGGACGGCCCATTACAGGCTTCCTTGTTGCCGAAGAGTTCATTCTAGGCTTTTCGGTCTTACGCGCTGGACATTCCGTCTGCCGGCTAACACCTCCCCCACCGGGGGGTTTAGTGTGCCCACCCTCTCTAAGGAGTGGTACCCATTTTATCTACTCGCCAAAGCTTTCGAACCGCTGGGTGGGCGGCAAGCTAGGGACAAGGCTGGTATCTCACACTAGCACAGGGCTAGAACGGACAGCAGCTCTGTTCAGCTCAGATGTATTAACCAGAGGATAAATCCCCTGTGGTCATTGCAGTCTTTGTCACAGTGAAGCCAACATTTGGGAGGTTTTTTCCCCTCCCCATATATTACTGATGATGAAAATGTCACGCATCTAAGGGTCCATCCACCTTTTATATGCAAGGGACAATTGCTCAAAGGATGACACTGGACCACCACAGAGGAAAGAAGGAGCCATTAAACAGATAATTCACTCCCAAAGTGCCAGCTCCAAGCACACCAGAATTGGAAACAATCTTAATGAACGACAGCAAATACATATCCTGGAGAAATCACTAGGCAGGTTAATTAATAGTTTCAGAGAAGAAGAAAAGGCACTGAAGGGTTCTCAAGGCCTTCACCAAACGAGATTTTCCCTTGGAATGAGCAACTGTTACTCAAGCAATGATAATGCATTTAAAAAAAAAAAACCTAAAAATATGTGCCCAGTGAACTGAAATTTAAGAAATGAAGTCATTAGTAAATGGGTATCTCCAGCTCATTCTTTCAAAACACAAAAGAAAAGATAA